CATATTGTGTTCTATTTTTAAGAAACATCTTAGATAGTTGTATTTTGGTAGGACTAAAGAAATATTTGAAGTACAAGTAAATTATATTTTTGTATGAATACTTTACCGGAAAAACCCAAAAAATCGAAAAAACCCGAGTTTTATTGGTTTGGTTTATAAATTTAAAAATCCGACACAAATGATTTGGTTTGATATTTGAAAAACCCGAACCAACCCGGCTATGAACACCCCTACCTAAAAGAATTCCCAAGAGAATACTAAAAGCAAAGTGGCATATTTTGCTGAGAACGACCATGTAGTTGTCAAATTCCAATGTCTGCTAAATTCTCATCCACTGTAACAATCATAAGTCCCTTCTTGTTCTCGGAGTTGACACACCTTTGGACTGGCTGAGTTCCAGAGTCGTACTTCCGTCTGCCATGAGAGGGCGCATGTTGGGCTGCTCCTGGACACACATTGCAGCTACTGCAAGAACTTGATACAAGCGTCTAACTGGATACTGACCTTGAATTGAAGCTCTGGATCAGCCATTTGTGAGAACTTTCTACGGTTTTTGAACAATGGTCGAGCCTGCAATTATTGAAGACCAACTAGAGGTCTAGCAGAGAGCAGCATTAAATGCACAGAACCCAAAGGACAACAAAATATATTCAAGTCCCAATGAGCATTTGAGTGGTTGATTCAGAAAGCAGGCACGGAAAATAATTGAGAAACCTTGTACCTAATAAAAACCGCAACAGATTGGTCGTGCAACATAATAAGCATGCACCAACTAGTTGAAGATTAAAGAAAAGACACATAAACTACACAGCTTAAGTTGTTCCACAACACTGTTAGAACAAGTGACACCATAAAACTAACACATTAACAGAAAAATCAATTTCTCTTACCCATGCAACCAGATTCTGCTCTCCAGCAGCTCTTGATGTGTCAATTGCACTTCTACCAGTAATAATTTCTAGAAGAACTACTCCAAAACTATAAACATCAGATTTAAGTGTAAGCTGCCCCATCATTGCATATTCTGGTGCACAATAACCATAGGTTCCCATGACTCTGGTGGAAACATGGGTCTTGTCGCCTACAAGTCCCAACTTGGTCAACCCAAAATCAGATAGCTTGGGATTATAGTCTTCATCAAGCAAAATATTAGAACATTTTAAATCTGTGTATATAACAGGGGGATTCGCTTTATCATGCAAGTACTCAAGGCCCTTGGTAGCACCGGCAGCTATTTTCATTCTTGTATTCCAGTCTAGTCGTGTTTTGTCGGGTGAAAGCTCTGGATTATTTAACCAAATACATGATAAATTAGATGCAACATCAAAGATACTTTGAATATAATGACACCAGTAAGGAGCAACAGAAAAGGAAAGATTTTATGAAAAATTTGATGAAAAACAAACTACCAATTTGGAATTTTTTGTCACAATTGAAATCACAAGTAATAATTTTCATTAGCTCAACAAGCATCTGCAAATTACTCAGGAATACAAAAGATTAGCTTTCAACTCCTGACAGATGGCAACAGGTGTGCTTTGCCCTTTATTTAATAAAATTCCACTATTTATTGAAAAAAAAGTCCCATCAGATACCGATTTGTATAGAAAGGAAGCTATGCAATATTTTTTTATGGTGCAGCAAGATTTGATATTAATCCCTTGGATTACTTAGTACTTCACAAACTAACCAAAATTCCTTCAAATAAATTCCGGATGAACTCCAGTATGGCTATTTTAATCTTAAGAACACATTTTTTTGTTAATAACAGCAAGATCCAGAATATGATAGCATTAATTAATTAGTCCTCTTATACATACCATGTAGATGGTCTTCCAGTGATCCTAACGGCATGAACTCGTAAACTAGAAATCTCTGATCTCCATCAGCACAATATCCAATCAAGTTGACAAGGTGTGGATGGTGAAGTAGGCTTAACATCAGGACCTCAACAAGAAATTCCCTATGTCCTTGCAATCCATTTTGGTCGAGTTGCTTGATGGCCACGACCTATATAAGAAATCATTTTCATGCCTCATAAGCAATCTAAAGAGTACGAGCAATATTCAAATGACAAAACAGAATTAATCTACTGTTGAGCACAGTAACAGTAAATGACCCCGTGGCACTTGGAACACATTAGGTGGATGAGCCTTGTTTTTCTCTCGAGGCTGGTAGCTCTAGTATCTATCCCTGCTAACAGTACAGAAGTATAGATAAAAGTTAGTTATGAACGGAGGAAAAATTCAAAGGTGGCAAAACTAATATGTCAGACCCAAGTTGTGCGTCTAAACTTCTCCGGTGGATAAAAGAATTCTCACTAACAGCATCATAAGAGCCAAAATGTTGCAGAATATAAAATGAGAAGACGACAATGCAGGTGATGAAGCTGTTCAATCATAGCACCATCAGCCGAGGAACATGGGGCGTTACGGCACAACACTATAAAGGTATAAACCTCAGGAAGCTAAATAATAAGATGCAAATCATTAAGGTTTCTCGTTCTCAAATTCATCGGAAATGGGATAGTGTACCTTTCACCATTACATTTCAGTGATGTTTGCAGTATCAGGTGTTGCAAGGACTTTTGATGCAAACAGGAAGCTCTTCAGCAATAATACTCATTTCCACCTCCACAAAATAGCTAGCTCAATTGAAAAGTGGAATCAATAATAAGAAATTTGTCAATTGTTGAACTTGGTCAAGATTTTAAAGGGCGAGGGCTGGTGGAGTTAGCACAGAAGGCAGACAAAAAAGGAAGCAGATTGGCCTGTATCATCTCTTTAGACTTAATCCTGGAAGCAGTTAAGGGGCTTTAGCAGACACAGCAGCATGGTGTTTGTTAGCATAAAGCCAGTAGGACACTGCTTTGAGTCAAGTCCATACTATGGTCTTCTTCATTGTCGCTGTGACCAAGCTGATTCTTATTTCTTCTTTAAAATTGCTTCTATTTAATGAACAAAAGGGTCTACACTGAAATGACTTCTCCTTAAGCTCAAGGACAATCAAATGATAACAAGAGACCGGGCAAAACCTTGAGGTGGAATTGCATTATGATCATTAAAATCTTCTATTTTTGCAGAGCTTTGATGAGGGTGTCTTGGTTTCTGTTTTACTAAAATTTCTTTGTAGTCTACCTATAAATGAGAAAAATTAGAAGGCTCTAGCTCTAAATCAATAACCTGAAAAGAGATTAGCTATCTTTAGATTGTCGGAGTGACTGATTCCACAATAGTTGAGCTAAACTGCGGTTGAAATCAGATTTTAAAGATAAAACCTTGCATCATCACCCCAAATTAAAAACAGAAGATCAAAACCGACTGTACATACAGTGAGATACATGCTTCAAATGAGTAATCAATGAATAACTGTCTTCTGAATTCTTTCACCATTTCAAAAGACTTTGCACTTTCCTCTTTGATAGGAAGAAACCAAGAAACAGTATAGCATGAAATGGAGAGAATGCCAACTCAAAATTAACTAATAAGAACAAAAAGTGTTTGAACACATTGATCATAAAAGGCAAATCACCATTTTATTTCCAATTTAAGAGTTAAATTTATGAGCTAGACCAACCTGATTAGTTCTCTCTAATCACCCTTTATATACTCTACCAAAGCCTCCCTCTCCCAAGAGACAATCTGCCCTAAAATATTTGGTTGCAGCAGCTAATTCACGAACTGTAAACGTATGTGCCGCTATGTGTCCAGATCCACCATTTCTGGAGCTGTTTTTTTTTTCATCCAGTGAAGTATTTACCTTAAATTTTTCTGAAACATGAAAGAAAAAATTGTTAGTTTTTCTGAACTTGGGAATGTATGGTAGGCCAATGTAACCTCCAAGCAACATCCCATGGGTGACAGAAATGCTAAGCTTTAGGAGATGAAAATAAAACAAATAGAGGTGGGGTGCTTTTGCATTCATGCATAAAAGTGAAATGTGTGTTAGCAGCAATAGAATGTTGTCCATCAACATGTGCAGACAGTAATAAGAACTTTTGAAGAAGTAAATATAGCAGATGCAATGGTACTAGAGTTCTCACTAATTTGACAAATGTAGCAAAGCAAAACAGAAAAATCCCAATGTTAACAGTATTTAAGAAACATGATTCACTTCATTATAGTAGAACTGGCACTAGTCTTGATATGTATTGAGAATACAATTAACTAATAAAAGTGTTCTCTCTGTACCAGTTTAAACTTTTAAATGAGATTGTTAATACTTCAATATAGTGTCAGAGTAGGCAGATGTTCTGAGATCGAATCTCACCACCACCCAAATGAAAAAAATAAAATACACATGCTTGGCCCATCAAAAAGAGTCAAGCCCGCACATGTGGGAGAGTGTTGAGAATACAATTGCCTAATAAAAGTGTACTCTCTATAACAACTTTAATCTTTTAAATGAGATGATTACACACTTCAACAATGTGCTATCCAATTTCATATGAGACAATAGCTCCAAACAATTTCTAATAACTTAACTTTTTAGATGAGATGATTACACACTTCAACAAAATGTTATCCAATTTCATAAGATAGGTCCAACACAATTTCACCTTGCATAGAAAACTTAAAAGGAAACCTTGAGCAACATCACTCAAGGGTTACAAATGCCATGCTGAGAAAGTTAACTGGACAACTACAACAATATACCAAAGTAATCTCACAAATGGGGTCTGGAGAGGGAATGCCTTACGACAGCAAAATAGTGGAGAAGCATCAAAAACTAGAGACACTTGAATTTAACTAAACATATTATTTATATGGAAGTATGTGAATAAGTTAAAAATAGGAGGTTGCCCAAAATCTATTGTTAAAAAAATGACTTAAAAGAAACAAGAAAGGCTCGGAGGAAGAAGTTTTCTGTTCTTTTCTTTTGGTCGCAAATCTTATATAGGATTTGCAAGAGTCAATTTGGAGAAACAAAACTCCTTTGCTTTTGGAACAGATATACCTTTCTCCTTTGAAATGGACTTGATTTGTATTGTTTGCATTACATTACACTTAACTAATAAAATAAAAGAGTAGAACTAAAACAAGTTTTACTATGTTCTGAATTTCTCACCAAAAATAAGCTAACAATTGTTTAATGTCCTTAGCACTAAGAGAGCTCAACTATGTCAACTCGATTTCGCTTCCTCTTCAATGCTTTCTTAGGAGAATCCTTTTCCATAAGCTTAGATTCTTTTCCTAGAGAAAAACCATCATCGTCATCACTTTTGCTGGTATCCTGAATGTCATCCTCATCGCTACTGTCTTCAGATTCTGTCGTATCATTGGTATCGAGATCGATTACTGGTTGGTAACTTGCTATTGCGGATTCAGCAGCTGATACAGCTTCCTGTGTGTGAAGTTCAGCAACACCCAACATTAAGTCCATCTCTATGTATTCAGATTCTTCACCAGTAAGAGCTTCAATGTCATATTTCTCAGGATTCTTCTTAGCTTCAAGCTCCACTTTTCTATTGTTTTCCAAAAATACTCCCAAAAAATCCTTGACCTTTGTTAGAACTTGGCTTTTGGGTACAGAAGAAATTTCAGGCTTCTTATCAGGAAGGTCAGGTTTCAAATTTAGGGATTGAGATCCGCCATCGTCACTAGTGCAAAAGAGAAGTTTTGATTCCAAAGACAAGCCGCCTTCAGTCTCCAAGTGAAGCAGATCTTTGCTGTTTGACTGCATATCAAGCAACTGATGATCTCCTATATGCTGCATGTTAACCTTTGAATTAGATTTCCGATATATCATAAATCAGAATGCAAGGCAACAAAAGTATATCAAGTGTGGACAAACAAATTCACAATCACAAATGCTTTTAAGAACAACTAATAACTTCTTCTATAGTTTAAGTTTTCATATTTTTTAATTACTTTGGGCTATTTACATGAATTTTCTATTCAGTAAGCTGTGACTTGTCAAAGTCAACAAGACCATAAAGGAAACTAGATGACACAAAAAGAATGAGCAAAGACCTTGTACACATTCTTCCACCAATTAGGTATGTCATTTTCTGAATAACTAAACAGCTTAATTTAATCTTTTTTGGGGGTAAATACAGATTTAATTTAACCAAGAAGCAACAATGTACATGTGTGGGATATGTATCAAATACAATCAATACCAAGCCATCAGTATCTAAGCTAAGCCTCCTTCCCCCTATTCTCTATCTGTACCTCCTGTTCTACGACACTTTTGAGAGAAAATCATTTCTGTAGTTTAAGGGTAAACATCGTGTTGCAGTAGGAAACTTGCTATCTTGTTTTGGCAGTAGCCTCAACAAAGCACCTCTTGTACTATCCTGCAGACTTCTTCAACAGTTCTCTTGTTCTGAAACACTCTTTGATTCCTTTCTAGCCAGATAGATAGAATAAACATACCCTACCAGTAACCTCAGGCACTGGCCATCTACCCATTAGCATGACTGATAGCCCATTCCAGTTCTTGTGTCCATCCCTGTGTATATTCATCCAGTGTAACAGCTTTACCCTTAAATTAGCTGAGTATGGGCATTTGAAAACAGGTGCTCTAGAGTTTTATCCTCTTACCACACATAGGGGGCACACAGTTGTAATAGAAACTCCCCATTTAAACAACCTATCTCTTGTATATATCCTGCCCTGTACCACCAAAGTAAATAGAAATAGCCACTTAGGACTACCTTCATTGTTGCATACCATTCTTTTCCAGCTTACATTGGGGAATAAGGCCTCCTAACTAGGGCTGGGCGTTCGGTCGGTTCGGTTTGCTGATTTTGGTTCAGTTTTTTGGTTTGGTAAAAATGTTAACGGAAACCGAACTATAATAAATTCGATTTTAACAATTTCGATTCGGATTGAATATAATCATATTGGGCCATTTTCTTATCACTAAACTTGTCTAAAGTTCAGGGGTCCTTTATATGTAGGCAAAGCCATAGCCAAATTTTCATTAAGCAAGGCGAAGGAAAAATATTCAGTTAAACTAATTAATTCCAACAAAACTAAGAACAATACATGACTATAAGCAACGAGACCATCATTTTAGACTCGGCTTAAACGAGCAGAAGAAAATCTAACTATGCTAACATATTACTACAAACTACTCTAAACAGAATTTATAAACACGCATAAAGAAAATTGTAGAAACAAAGAAATATTACCTGCGAACGGGAACGACTAGTTGAGAAGACGACTCCACAACGTGTTTCAACTCAAACAACCACAAAATTTTAAACTATTGGACCAAGAATTTCCAAACCTTATAGGGGTATTCTTAGATCTCCAAAAAACCGTCCCTTAACAGTGAATCTCTCAAATTCCTGATGAAGAATCGATGTGGGAGGAACTAATTTCAGAGAATCAGGCTCCAGTGAGCTGGAATCGTATGAATTTGAAACGAAATTAAAAAGAAAAAGGAAATTGGAATGGACCACATCAAGGTTGCCTCCGGAAGCTCCGCGCGTCTTTTGCCTCACGCAGAATGTACAAATACGAAGGAGAAAAGACAGATGAAATTGGGAGTTAGGGCTCGTTCGCCTCCTTCTTCGTTTGCTGGAGTTACATCCTGAAAGAGCAAGAGGGCTAAAAAGGGGGAGAAAAAAGGCTGGATCTTTGAAATGGACCAAGAAATTGGGCTCTGTTTGTTTGAATTGAAAAGCTGAGGTCCAATTTGATTTCAAAGGAAATAGGTCCCCGAGTCTTGAAAATAATACTTTAAGATGATAATATTTGAAATAAAATAAATTATGTATCTAATCAATTAATAAGCTTTTTCATTTTTACAAATGTGAAATAATGAACTAATTATAGAAAATACCACTAATTAAAATTTTGATTAATTTGATGATAAATAAGATAAGTATTAAGTTAATTATTCAAATAAGATATATATCCAAAGTCGTACACAAACTTATATAAATATAGAAATATATAATTGCTTCTCAAAACAATAACAAAACCAAGCCTTAAAACAATTTTTGGATTTTTCAAAAACAATTATTTCCAATTGTTTAAAATTTAAGAAGCTTAAAAATTAATCAAATCGTGGAGGGTCAAAATTGGGTGTCAATATATATATATATATGATATGATATGATACGATACTAATTACTATGGATATTGTAAGGGGGAATTTTTATTTGCTAAAATGAATAAATAAAATAAAATATTTATTTTCAGTATAGGAATCAAATAAGATTATAAAATGAAACAAAAGAAATCTCCCTCTCTCCAACAACACTTGTCCACTATTTAAGAAATTATAAATAGAAGGGTAATTTTACTATATCACCCTTTGAATATAATAAATGTAATGTCTTAAAAAATGTAATAGAGAAATAACTATAATTAATGATAAGGGTAAATTAGGAATTAAGTGTAAAAATTATCCATTGATTTTATAAAATGGACAAGTACAGTTGAATATTCCAAAATAGTATAATGGACAACTATTATTGGTCGGAGGGAGTACTTGTTTTCCTTTTTTTTTGGAAACTACATAAATGTGCCATAAAACCTAAACTAATTACAAGTTCATACCCAAACCCAAAGTAATTCCTAATATACCGATTCTCTCATAAATAATTACAGCTCATACCCCCCCACCCCCCCTCATTTCGGGCCACTTTCTTATTCAAACGCACCCAGTTTAAATCCCAACCGTTTGGCCCACTTTCTTATTCAAGCCCAACAGGTTTATCGTCCAGCTGTCATACCCAAGTTAAACTAAGTGGTGCAACATACATCGATTTTAACTAGAAGCAGTTCTACCATCATTTTCCTTCATCTTGGTGATTCTATTCCGTCATTGTCAGTCCAATTTACTCAACTTTGTGTGTGGTAGTTCTTCCTCTATTCCACTGATATTCAATTTTGTTTTTCAATACGCTTAATTTTGAATCAATTTCTATTTCTATGTGGTTTTTTGATCGAAATGTAGCAACTAGTTGTTGGTGGGGTCATTATTCTATTTATGCAAGTTTTGTTGACAATGCTAGTGATGATAATAATAATAATAATGTAGGTGACCAGAAGTCGAGAGTTTCTAGCATGTTTGGGCCAAGGTTTTCACTTAATTCGGAGGATGGCAACAAAGAAGATAATGTTGGCTTAAATGACGAATTTGATCATGGAGATGTTAATGTTGGAACTAACCTCAATCCAGTTGTGAGTGTTAACAAGCCTGATCAAAACCCTGATATTACGAGTGACAAAATAGAGATTGATTTGAAGAGGAAAGGGAAGGCTTACATGTTTTGTGATGACCAATTGTATAAAAAACAACATATTGGTACTCCTTAGCTATTACAATTCGCAGCTACACTTTGTTTTGCTATGTATTTGTATTCGTTATAGTTTTTTGCGAATTTCGAAGAAAGATATACAAATACAAACTGATATGAATATATATTAGGAGGAGAGAGGATTTATGCATGTTGTTGTGAATACCAATATTGTTGATACAAAAAATATAAATATAATTTTTCGAATACAATTGATATAACATACAAAACTCTCACTTATATTTGATTAAATATAATAGATACATAATACATTTGAGTTGATTTCTTCTTATTGGCAGGGGCGAGAGATGGAGAGGGCAGTGGGAGGAGAGGCAAGGGAAAGGGAGAGAGGAGAGAGAAATTTGCTATAAAACCATACTTATAACTACAGATTGTACTTACTTAAATAACAGTGATTTATCGTAAATACATACTACATGTTTGCCTGTTTGTGTAATTTTTCCTACTTTTTTTTATTCTTCAAACCAAATGACGTGAAAAGGAATACTTGCTCAATCTTTCTATCTCATGATTGAGAAGGAATATGATCTCAGAAAAAGGAACCATAATATTTGTTAGAGCTTAATTGGGAAGCATGTAAAAAATTGTATTAGTTTGATTTAACCATTTTTATTACTATCTTGAATATTTTAGTGAAAAGAAATTATCATGATAAATAATACTCTATCACTCTTATAACCTATATAAAAAGTTAAAATTAAGTTTGAACCCGCATAAAACCGCATAAACCTGCAACTTGCCCCACTCCACATTAGTTTTTAACACACTTCAACACGCCCCCGCAGAACCTTAAAACCTCCCCCACCCCACATAGCCTTAGAACCGCCCGACATCCACTCCACCCTATTGCCATCCCTATGTGCGAAGTAGAAGAATTTTTTTCTATTTTGAGCCAAAGACTAGAATAGTAGATGCTTTTATCAATTGTAGTTGGCAAAGGTAAGTTGAGGCCTACAGGTAAGAAATTGATAATAAGATGGTGACATACGATTTGGTTGTGCAGTGAGTTGGCAAATCCCTTAATATTCCTCTTGCAGAAATTAGCAAGACACACTAAAATAAGCAATGCCAGTGTTTTTTCTACTTTTTTATACAACAATAATATTATCATATGAGAGGACACTACAAACAAGTTTTCATCACTACTGTCTAACTGCCAATTGGCTCTCTAATTTACATAATCTACAAAGTAAAATGAGAAAAAAGAATAGGAAGTACCTAAAAGAATTCCCAAGAGAAAACTAAAAGCGAAGTGACATATTTTGCTGAGAACAACCATATAGTTGTCAAGTTCCAATGTCTGCTAATTCTCATCCGCTGCAACAATCATAAGTCCCTTCTAGTTCTCGGAGTTGACGCACCTGAGTGATGCCTTTGGACTGGTTGAGTTCCAGAGTCGTAC